CACCTTGATGTCGCAGTGAAGAACTCAAGGGCCCTGCCTCTGCTGCCGGAGAAGCAATCGTGCATTCGTTAAAAAAAGAAGGTGGAGAAGATCTTCAAGGTGGGTCGCAGGTCGCGGCTTAGAATTGTTTCCTTTTGCGTTCCTGCTCCGGCGTGACTTTGTTTCCTTTTGGGTGTTGGGTTGGGTGGTCCCTGTGCAACGAAGGCGAGTACTCCATCCGTTCAAAAAACTTGTCGCTTAAATGAATGTAATCTAGCAGTAATTCGGTGCTAGATACATTCATTTGGGGAACAAACTTGGGACAAGCTTCTTCCGACAGAGAGGGTATGTACACTAGACCACAACCATCCTCACATATATACTTTATTGTTGCCTTTAAGAGCATCTAGCATCTACAGCCAGGCGCCCCAGACTGGTCTCAAACGCTCGGATGTCCCGCCCGGTCGCCGACCAGTCATGGAATTTCGACACAGACAGGCGCCTCAAACAGGTCTCAAGCGTTCGGACCGATCGGCACTCGTCACATTCAATCCAAATATGAGGCGGATACGGCGAAGCCCAGCGCGTCCGCCACGTTGGACTGACGGCGGGGTCCCATGCGAAATCACCCAAAAACACGCCGGTCTGAAGCTTGTCTCTTCCGTCGGACCGATGTCGCTGCGCGGCACCACTCCGCTGGGCCACGTAGTGACTAGCACAGCGGCGTACGTGCTCTAGTTTTCAACTACCTGCGTTGCCTAGCCTGCAGTGCCAGCCGGGCGTTGGAAGCCAAAGACGATGGTGTGTGCATGCATGGTCGCTCCTCATCAGAGCATCTCCAACAGCCGTGCTAAACTAGCGCTGCGCCGTAAAATAGGCCTTTTTAGCGCGCGCGCAACGCGGCGGCTCGCTCCAGCGGGCGCGCAAAAACGGGTTGGGCGCGCGGTTAAAAACACTTATCCGCGCGGTGTATTTGGAGCGCCAGCTACAGCGCGCGGCACACTCGAGCGCTCGCGCCCGCACTCTCTCCCTCTCCTTGTCCTACGCCCCACGCGCGCCGGCGCCGGCGCCCTGCCCCCCCGCCATGGACG